AAGATGTGATATTTCTTGAAGGCAATGGAAGATGGAAACGCGGTCGGTAGATTAGCTAGGATACCAAACAGCCTGTTAAGTAAGGGACGGCCGTTTCCGAATGCGATGTTGTGAGAAATGTCGTGAACTCCCACGATGAGACCATGGGTTGCCACGGCACCCAGGCAGTAGGATGCTATGAAGAGATTGGTCCAAGACAGGTCACGCATTATGTAGGCCAGTGAGAGTTGAAGCGACATCAACAACAAGATTTGGTACTTGAAGATAGGATCACTGCCCATCAGTTTCTTGATCTCAGGATACTTGGCTTAGAAAAAGAATAGAATAAGTCTCAGTAATTCAAGATTGCCTCCCTATGGCGTTTCCCCGAACATGGAAGAGTGCCCCTACCATCTTATAGGGAATCAACATGGGGCAATGCAACCTTGTTTCCGCCCCTCCCCTTTTCGATCGGAAAATCCCTGGGAACGAGGTTGATGGAAGGGACGTCTTAGCCTGCGAGTAAGCTCTCCAATTGTGGGAGTCTCGAGAAGTCACGCGAGAGCAGCACGCAAAAGGAGACTCGAGTGCGACTTCGCCGCTAGCCCGCGTTCTCTCGTGGCTCGCTAATGGTTGTCTTCGCCCCTCCCATTTTGGGACAGAGGGGATTTTGCCTCCAGAAATGATTTTGCCGTTCTTCTCGCAAACTTTGTCTGTGGGGATTTGGTCCATGAATATTTCGTTCCCATAAACTGCTATACCCCGGAGTCTCCAAAGATCTGAGAAGTGCTCCTTCCATTTATCGGAAGTGAAATTTCACTCTGCGACTTCCTTAGCATTATTAAAAAGTCAGTTTTTTTGCGAAGAGTCGAGGAGGATGGGGCAATGAAAAAATTAAAACAGCTCTGGACAATTAATTGACTTTTTAAAAAAAAATCTCACTTACTTAGGCCCCGTCCGCACGCATCCGGATATTTTTGAAAACGGAGATTTTTTTCTTCGTTTTCCAAAAAAAATATGTGCATCCACACGTAGCGTATGCTAATCGTTTTCGCCCGTTCACATGAAAACGCTCAAAGGAAGAAAATACGATAGAATCCCTTACGGAATATACGTCATGCTCGAGGCACACTTAAACGAGAAGTTGGCGTTTTCAAAATTCTCCACTGTCAAGAGCCTTCTTTGAAAAGATACGTTTTCGATGACCGCGTTCACCCGATACGTGTAGAAGATTGGCCAAACCACTCGGAGAAAAAATATCCGTATTCAAACAAACATGGATACGTGTGGACAGGGCCTAATTTGCAGACAAGACCGTTAGGTCACTCGGAAATGGTGAAGGATACAAGATGTTGGGTATTCAAACAAGTTTGTATTGCCCAGTTTGATATTGGTCAACTGCGCAATGTTTACAACGAGCTATTCTTATTCACAAAAACCTGAGGCTTCAATAATTATTTCGTGGTGGAACTAAATACACCTGTGTTCTATTCGTGCTACAACACGTTCCGCAAAATCGATAGTGAGTGTTTACCCAATTTGCTTCCAAGACTTGAATATTACTGCCATGTCGTCGCCACAAATAAAAGCCAATGCTGGCAAAATTTTGACTAAAAATTTCTTTCTTTTGTACTGATAGTCCACGGAGCTTTGAAAATTATGCCAATTAGGGGATGCGAGTAAAAAACGCTTAAGCCTAATGAGCTGCTATTCGTGAAATACCAGGTGTATGTCGATGTATGCATTAATTAGGGAGGGGTTGATAAATGTTTGTTACTAAGTTACTTATAGTCGATATGTAGGGCGATCATGCGAAATTGCATGGTTTTTTTTGGCAGACATAACACGATGGCCCCAAATGACATAGTTTATTGCTAGTTAGACTTATTAATGTTGAAACGTCATGAAGTCGAAAAAAATAAATAACAATTCACTACATCTGTTGTATTAGCGTACGACAACCTTGCATGCGACAAAATGAGCCGTGAATACTTAGCTCAGAGACATCTTTTGAAAAAGGAATGGGCTAGTTAGCGAATTTTCGTCTAGAATCGCCATGTGAAAATTCATCATTTTGTGCCTCGTTTACCTTAGCTGTTTTTAAACAGCTTGGATATTATAGGAAACAGATCGCTTTTGTTAGCAATAAAGCCTGACTAATTAAGGCGCACTTATTTATAATCTAAATCCATGTTTATAGTAAACTCAATAGTAAAAAACCAATTGAGATTTTCTAAAGGGCTCTGAATATCTCAAATGAACAACCAAAAAAGTAAGTGGTCAACAAAAATATTTAGCTTCTTTTGTAAAAGTCAACTAGTGATGCCAAACTGTCGCAGGGTCATGTTCGTTAATGCTTAATGCTTTTGTATAAAGTAAAATCATCGGGTCAATGTGGGCTAAAGCAGTCAAATGTCAGCCTACCAAGTATTTCTTTTCTTCTCGTAGCATGTGGTTCGGCTGTGTACGACCATTCGAAGTCACAGCGAGTAATTTGGCCACCCATCCTCACTGAAGTCCTCTACCTGCAGCTGCTTGCGTCAATGCTATGCTAACGTGGAATAAACACTAAATACCTTCTTGAATTTTAATAAATTATTGTAATTGCTTGGTTCCAAATAATAGATATAGTTTGGCACGGTTGATCGAGCAAAGGAGACACGTGCGATCTTTCAGCAGAGGTTAAATGAGTAATTTTCGAGTTCACGAATTGCCTATCTTTTTGCTGTTTTTACGATACATTTTCGACCCTTTTGGTTTGAATAGATAATTCTTGTCTACCAAAATGGCTCTTGAAGAACTTTTTTGCATATAAAGTTTATGTGTAGACTTCATTGTTTAAAATGCTTAAACACAGTTATTATTGTCTTAAGTAATAGACGTTATATGGCAACCATGGCTCCTGACTTCTAACCAAAAAATGACATTATGAAATCCTTTGAGTCTGCAAGGATGACATCGCCATAGCAATTACAAAAAAAAGCAAAAATGAATTGTATTTCGAAATCTATTCCAAAGTCCACTTTCCACTTGTAAGGTAATTTATTCATTTTTCTGAATTGAAAATTAAGGCAAATTATGGTTGACATATCAACCAAGCATCAGACAGCAAAACTGAATGTTGGGGGAGTACTCCATTATATTACGTAAGTTATATACGGTATGTACCGCCCCAAAGAGCATAGTTTTTACGCCTTTTCGGTCTGAAAACGGGTATAGACTTTCTCCATTTTAGTCTAGAATCCGGTATGGTTTTCGAGGGAATTACGGGAGTGGATGAACGTATTTGTCGTTTCAATTCCAAATGAATAAGAAAGAACGCGAGTATGATACAAATTCGAAATGGATTTCAAGAAATCTTTTTCAGTGTTGACGTTCTAATCTAAGTAATGATGGCATAATTTCTGCCTTTCCCGGGTGTAAAAACGGGTATAGATTTTAGAGTGCAGCTCTGAAAACGGGTGTCGAAATGACATTTTAAAGAGGGGTCAGGATTTGGAGAACTGGGCGGCACAGCCCTACCAAGAATTCCCAGGAGTATCCCCCCGGTTATCCGATAAACTCAACCCTGTTCTGTCCGGGCAGGCTGAAACTGCATTTCCAAACTATCCCGTTTCTTTCCTGTATACGAGTTCACAAACTCGTCACATCTAAAAAATCATTATATAGAGCGTCTTCATAAAGATACGATTTCGGAGAACGGATTCACTGGAGAACGTGTGGACGGAACGCCAATTCATATAAAAAGTATGGGGTTCCAGAAATATCTGGATTCGTGTGGACGGGACCAACTAACTAGTGGTACCAATCATAGTCTAAGCAAGAACGCGTGAATATTGCCCTAAAGAATTTAAGTGACTGCTAGATTGTGATAGCTAATGGATATGAATACGGTCACGATCAGTTTTTACGGTGCGTCGTGCTTTTGTTGGTATAATCGCCGAGATCAAGAACAATATAACTTTTTTCTCTCCACTCTAGTTCAGGGAAGAGACCCTGCAAGAGAAAAAATTACAAAATCCCATATTTCAAAGGAACTTTTAAGCATTCCAATGTCAAAACTTTAATGCTTTATGTTAAAGTGACCGTATAAATATTTAGGCATTTGAAAAATGCGTGTAGGGTGATCATTCCGTTGTCAACCCAGATGCCATGTGCGCCACATCAAACTTAATTACCTTATTATAGGAAATTAACGCTGCATGAAATTAACGCCAATCGTTAAAATTCGCGTTAATTTAAGTCGCGTTCAATATTGACAATAATTTCACTGAGAAAATCGAAAAGATTAAAAAAATCCTCGGGTGCTGGTCGGCCAGAAGACTCACACTTAGGGGTAAAATTGCCATTCTAAAAGCTCTAGCAGTATCTCAGATTGTTTACGTTTTGTCCTCCCTTCCGACACCGAAAGGGGTCATAAAGGAAATTAACGCTCTGTTATACGATTTTCTTTGGGACAATAACGGGGACAAAATAAAAAGAACAGAAATGATCAACGATTACAGTAAGGGGGGGCTAAAGATGATCGATATTGCTAGTTTTAATCAGGCCTTAAAAATGAAATGGGTAAAAAGCTATTTAGATGATCAAGATACAGGGAAATGGAAGCTTTTTTTCAATCATCGACTAGCACAATTTGGAGGGAAATTAGTTTTCTGGGGAAACTTAAGCCCTAAAGACGTTCGTTTACTTAATCTGCGAGATCCATTTTTAGCTGAGATTATGGAATATTGGACGACCCTAAATTATAAGGACAACAATCTAGATTTCACGTCAGCTCAGATCTGGCACAACTCCCTCATAAGAATAGAGAACAAACCAATTTTCTATAAATCTTGGTTCACCGCAGGTGTGAAAGATGTTAAAGACATCCTTGACACGGACGGAAAGTCTATATTAAGCTATACTGCATTTACCGCTAAATATAAAATCAAGACTAACTTTCTAGAATTCTATAAGGTAGTATCAGCCGTTAAACTGTTCAGGCAAAAGTGTTCTCAACAACCCAATAGAGGACCCAA